TTTGATACATATTTGAACACTTCTGAGGACATTTTAGTGCTGCTGTTTTTTATTTACTTGCAATATATCATTGAATTTTACAGGAAAGGTATTTCTAATAACTTTAAATTACAACATGGCTTGTGTAGCAATTGACATTATTTTGTTTTATTTGCTATATATATTTTTTCTTTTTTTTTACAAAAGCTGAGTAACCCTTTAGGAATTCAGTATTGGGTTGTCTTAATAAAAAGGAATATAGGAGCACACTATTTCTGGCACATCGCCACTTTTGTACTTGTGGTATATTTCAAAGTATAAAGCCTGGTTAAATGTGCATGTATTCCAGTGGTGTACTAAATGTTTTTTTTTTATTCATACACTTTAATCACTTCCTTTATTGGAGCATTTTTTTTTATTTTTCAGATATATTTTCTGCATTTTTTGGCTATAAAATTATGTTGCAGAATATTTGGGCAACTGTTTATCAAATCTATAATCAAATCAGAAAAAAAAAATTTGTGTACTCAAACACAATTTAATCCCAAACTTTTTGTACAAAATAAAATATGAGGTACTGTTGAATAGGTACCAAATACAAAATGTCAAGCCTCAAAACTGCTCATGACCATTAAATGCTGAAAAATTATGGTATCCAAAATTATCAATAGGTGATATTTTAAATGTGTTTACAGTTTATTTATTTTTTTTTTAAAACTTAATATATTTCACATTTTAACTCTATATTGTATTTAACTTACTTGCATTGACAAGGAAGTAACACGAGTGAGTTATGTAAAAGTCAGCTGCCTAGATCACTTTACAGAAATGTTGGGGGGCTGTCTGGTAGACATAGAAGCAAGCTCACGGCTGTAACTGCAGCCGTGAGCTTGTTTTATCCTCTTCAGTCTCTGGAGGTACCAGACACATCCAAAGAACTGAAAGGTTTATACCATAAGAGTTATGTTGATGGCTATGTGTGGTGACAATCTTTACATTTTAATGATATATGACCAATGGTGATGATAATGTAGCATCAGAGCATGCAGGCCAAAACTTAATCTCAAGGGATTTTGTAGCATCTGGGGCAACTGTGACTCTTTCATTTTGAATGAACACTGGTGTTCCTCTGCCACATAGCTTTAAAAAGTTACAAAATATATTATTAAAAGATTGCATGCAATATTATTCTAAAGGAAACTAAATAGTCAAGAATCAATGTGTTACCATAAATATATTCTTATAATTTATGGTGTAAGTAAATATAAACCTGTAGAAATATTTTGGGTCAATGTTTCTCTTACATGACATAACTGCAACTATTCAATTAGCAAAGAGTGTGGTCACTTTAACTGAATAACCAGTTGAGTGCTATGTAAATTTAAAAAAAAAAACAAAAAGACAGTTTTACATTATTTACTAAGCCAAGTGAAAATGTTCTTTGACAAGTGAAGAATCTTGATTTCTGTAGCTAATTAACCCCATTGACTCACTCTGTTTTTCCAGGGAAAGCTAATGGGGAGCAGTAAGCAACTATCAATTAAGTCAAAACATGTATTATTATTAAGTTATTTTCACTGCATATATTTACTGTACATCTATGCATTTTCATACTTGACTGAATATTACATTTTGCATTTGCACAAATTACTTTATTTCACATTTTAAAAGCAGAACAATAAAAAAAAATTATTTCAATGCACTTGTGATAAACAAGACAAATATATTTTACAGTAACGTGTTAAGAGATTCTTTCTTTGCTATTTATTTATTTAAATAAAATACGTAGAAATACATATATCTACAGTATACATCTACATTTTATATATATATATATATATGTATATAATTAGAGATGAGCGAATCGAACTTGGCGAAGTGGAATTCGTTTCGAATATTAGGAAAAATTCGATTCGCATCGAATCCGAATTTTAGCAAACTTCGGATGCACGAATCGAATTTTCCCCGATCAGCCGGCAAAAGTGTCACTGCAGAGAGCTCCGCTATTTCTGACAGTTCTCTGACAGTTCTGACAGTTCATTTACAGCGGTTGAAACATTGTATCTATTTGTTTCCATTTAGGATACAGATGTTTTTATTCGGAAATAAATAGATACAATGTTTCAACCGCTGTAAATGTGAAGGAACTGTCAGAGAACTGTCAGAAATAGCGGAGCTCTCTGCAGATACACTTTTTGCTGTACTGGAATTCTTCTTCTTTTCATTCTTCTTCTTCTTTTCATTCTTCTTCTTCTTCTTTTCATTCTTCTTTTTCATTCTTCTTCTTCTTCTTTTCATTCTTCTTTTCATTCTTCTTCTTCTTCTTTTCATTCATTCTTCTTCTTCTTTTCATTCTTCTTCTTCTTCTTTTTCATTCTTCTTCTTTTCATTCTTCTTTTCATTCTTCTTCTTCTTCTTTTCATTCTTCTTCTTTTCATTCTTCTTTTCATTCTTCTTCTTCTTCTTTTCATTCTTTCTTCTTCTTCTTTTCATTCTTCTTTTCATTCTTCTCCTCTTCTTTTCATTCTTCTTCTTCTTCTTTTAATTCTTCTTCTTCTTCTTTTCATTCTTCTTTTCATTCTTCTCATTCTTCTTTTCATTCTTCTTTTCATTCTTCTCATTCTTCTTCTCATTCTTCTTTTCATTCTTCTTCTTCTTCTTTTCATTCTTCTTCTTCTTCTTTTCATTCTTCTTCTTTTCATTCTTCTTCTTCTTCTTTTCATTCTTCTTTTCATTCTTCTTCTTCCTCTTTTCATTCTTCTTCTTCTTCTTTTCATTCTTCTTTTCATTCTTCTTCTTTTCATTCTTCTTCTTCTTCTTTTCATTCTTCTTTTCATTCTTCTTCTTCTTCTTTTCATTATTCTTCTTCTTCTTTTCATTCTTCTTTTCATTCTTCTTATTCTTCTTTTCATTCTTCTTCTTCTTCTTTTCATTCTTCTTTTTCTTCTTTTCATTCTTCTTCTTCTTCTTTTCATTCTTCTTTTCATTCTTCTCATTCTTCTTTTCATTCTTCTTCTCATTCTTCTTTTCATTCTTCTCATTCTTCTTTTCATTCTTCTTCTTCTTCTTCTTCTTTTCATTCTTCTTCTTCTTCTTCTTCTCTTCTTTTCATTCATTCTTCTTTTCATTCTTCTTCTTCTTCTTTTCATTCTTCTTCTTCTTCTTTTCATTCTTCTTTTCATTCTTCTTCTTCTTCTTTTCATTCTTCTTCTTCTTCTTTTCATTCTTCTTCTTCTTCTTTTCATTCTTCTTTTCATTCTTCTTCTTCTTCTTCTTCTTTTCATTATTCTTCTTCTTCTTTTCATTCTTCTTTTCATTCTTCTTCTTCTTCTTCTTTTCATTCTTCTTCTTCTTTTCATTCTTCTTTTCATTCTTCTTCTTCTTTTCATTCTTCTTCTTCTTCTTTTCATTCTTCTTCTTCTTCTTTTCATTCTTCTTCTTCTTTTCATTCTTCTTTTCATTCTTCTTCTTCTTCTTTTCATTCTTCTTTTCATTCTTCTTCTTCTTCTTTTCATTCTTCTTCTTCTTCTTTTCATTCTTCTTTTCATTCTTCTTCTTCTTTTCATTCTTCTTCTTCTTCTTTTCATTCTTATTTTCATTCTTCTTCTTCTTCTTTTCATTCTTCTTCTTTTCATTCTTCTTTTCATTCTTCTCATTCTTATTTTCATTCTTCTTCTTCTTCTTTTCATTCTTCTTCTTCTTCTTCTTCTCATTCTTCTTTTCATTCTTCTTCTTCTTCTTATCATTCTTCTTCTTCTTCTTCTCATTCTTCTTTTCATTCTTCTTCTTCTTCTTTTCATTCTTCTTCTTCTTCTTTTCATTCTTCTTCTTCTTCTTTTCATTCTTCTTTTCATTCTTCTGCTTCTTTTCATTCTTCTTCTTCTTTTCATTCTTCTTTTCATTCTTCTTCTTCTTCTTTTTTCATTCTTCTTCTTCTTTTTTCATTCTTCTTCTTCTTCTTTTCATTCTTCTTTTCATTCTTCTTCTTCTTCTTTTCATTCTCTTCTTTTCATTCTTCTTCTTTTCATTCTTCTTCTTCTTCTTTTCATTCTTCTTTTCATTCTTCTCATTCATTCTTCTTTTCATTCTTCTTTTCATTCTTCTTCTCATTCTTCTTTTCATTCTTCTTCTTCTTCTTTTCATTCTTCTTTTCATTCTTCTCATTCTTCTTTTCATTCTTCTTTTCATTCTTCTTCTCATTCTTCTTTTCATTCTTCTTCTTCTTCTTTTCATTCTTCTTTTCATTCTTCTCATTCTTCTTTTCATTCTTCTTCTTCTTCTTTTCATTCTTCTTCTTTTCATTCTTCTTTTCATTCTTCTTCTTCTTCTTCGTCGTGCCCCGTGACTGCCCAAATGAGTGAAGAGTGCCGTGATTCTAAGATCGACGGCACTCATCTGCATGTCATACTGACTGACAGTATTATTTCTCTTCCCCAGCAGACTCCAAGGGCATTTAAATTAAAGGTACAGTGTTCTGCACTAATATAAAGGCTCTCTGAAGCCTAGAAACCCTTTTAATAAGTTAAATTTGCGGCGAATAAATTTGCATCGAATCGAATTTCTCCCGCAAATTCGGCGAATCAGCCGAATCGAATTTTTGAATAATTCGCTCATCTCTATATATAATATATATATATATATATATATATATATATATACACACAGTGCATTTGTGAGGTCAGGCACTGATGTTGGACGAGAAGGCCTGGTTTGTGGTCTCCACTCTAATTTATCCGAAATGTGTTCTATCAGGTTGAGGTCAAGACTCTGTGCACGCCAGTCAAGTTTCTCCACCCAAACTCGCTCATCCATGTCTTTATGGACTCTGCTTTGTGCACTGGTGCGCAGTCATGTTGGAACAGGAAGGAGCCATCCCCAAACTGTTCCCACAAAGTTGGGAGCATTAAATTGTCCAAAATGTCTTGGTATGCTGATTCTTTAAGAGTTCCCTTCTCTGGAACTAAGGGGCCAAGTTCAACCCCTGGAAAGCAACCACACACCATAATCCCTCCTCCGTCAAACTTTACACTTGGCACAATGCAGCCTGGCAAGTTCCATTCTCCAACAACCGCCAAACCCAAACACATCCATCAGATTGCCAGATAGAGAAGCATGATTCATCACTCCAGAGAACACATCTCTGCTGCTCTAGAGTCCAGTGGTGGCGAGCTTTACGCCACTGCATATGACTCTTTGCATTGTACTTGGTGATGTAAGACTTGGATGCAGCTGTTCAGCCATGGAAACCCATTACATGAAGCTCTCTCTCTTTGTGTGCTAATCTGAAGGCCACAGGAAGTTTGGAGGTCTTTAGCTATTGACTCTGCAGACAGTTGGCAACTTCTGCACATTGGGTGCTTCAGCATGCGCTGGCCCCGCTCTGTCATTTTATGTGGCCTACCACTTTGTGGCTGAGTTGCTGTTGTTCCCAGTTGCTTCAGCTTTGTTATAATATCACTAAAAGTTGACCGTGAAATATTTAGTAGCAAGGAAATTTCATGGATAGACTTATTGCACATGTGGCAACCTATCACGGTAGCCCGCTTGAATTCACTGAGCTCCTGAGAGTGACCCATTCTTTCACAAATGCTTGTAGAAGCAGTCTGCATGCCTAGTGCTTGATTTTATACACCTATGGCCATGGAGGTGATTAGAACAGCTGTAACCAATGATTTGAATGGGTGTGTCCCAATACTTTTGGCAATATAGTATGTGTGTGTATATATATATATACATATATATATATATATATACACCAATACCCTGTGAGCAATGTGTTTACGGTGCTATACCAAGGCATCAATGGCATGGTTTCAAAGTGTACAGAGTATAAAAAAGACATAGATATACACATAATTTAATTCTTTCTTAGAAGCAGTGTAAGTACAGGATCTTGCTGAGAAAAGGAAATTATAATTGTATTTGATACATCTGAATTAGTACACAGGGGGTACTAGAGAATGTGATCGTAGTAAATTGTAAGTGCATTTGGTGTAATAGAAGAGGAAGCAATAACATTAATTGATTTCCAGGGCAAGTTTGGTTTGGAACTTGATTAGTATTTCTTATCTAAGGACTCTACTAAAATTTAGCACACTCCAAGGGAGCCAATTAGTTTCCTCTTCTCCCTGGATTATGATTACATCCAGACAATTAAAATGTATGAATTCCTTAATGGTAGAAGGCAGAGGTTAAATAAAAGCATTAAGCAAATAGAATTTTAAACATTACAACTGCCAGCCCCTTCTTCCGTTACTCATACTTTGTTTCCTTCTGATTAATAATATTTACTGGACAGCATCATTAAAGTCATTTCTAAATATTTTTTTAAGTAACAAATATATATATATAACATATTGGGAACATTCCATAATGCCATAGTTTTGAAGTCATATTATTTTCACAAGTATAACATTTTTTTTAAAATGTGTTGTTTAAAGTGTCTAGTTTATGGCAGGTGGGTGAGATGTCAGAGTGCAGGATGATAGTTTCAGCGTTTCACAAACTCCTAGGGGTTTATTTATAAATTAAAAAAAAAACACTTTGTAAATGTCTCATCATTCACTAGGAAATAACATCTGTAATGTTTGTAAAGGGTGTAGGGTCAGTTTCTATTTGTTGCCTTTTGATGGATGAATGTAACATTCTCTTAATTTTTGATTCTAACACAAAATACCCATAAGAACACACAGTACACCATAAGAGAAAATAGCCTAAAGCCGACCATAGATGGATCGAATCTCTGGTTTAGCAAGATTCGATCCATGTATCTGGTACCATGTATCTGAAGCTGGTTGTACTGAATTATATCTATCAATCAGCTTCAGTACAACCAGCCTGTCAGATTTGCAAGAGATTACTGCTGGTGGCTATAGCAACTATCAGTAATCATTGTGCTCTGCAGGCAGGGAAGGGTCCCTGCCAGAAGAAGGAATTCCTCCATCAGTCAATATTGATAGGGGAATCAAGTGATTTTCTTTTCCTACAACCCATGATTGGAGAAAAGACAACTGAATCATTTATGGCTTGCCTAAAACTTTAGGCTAAGAACATTTGACCAGAAGGGAAAATAATGAGGGAGACCTTTGCACTGTGTACACAGTCTCTGAAGAGTCCTGTGCGAATATCCGAACAGATGGGTGTTTGGCAAAGCAAACCTCTAACTGCAGTATAAAGTGAAAATATATCAGCGGTATTACTACCACTTGTAAATGTGACATTTTCTAGCTCACAATTGCCCCAAAGTAGTGCTGCACTGCTCTTTAGTGAACTTGAAAGCATATAATGATAAATACACTCCCTCCTGAGTACCAAACCAATAAGTGAATAGAGAGAACACAAAACAAAAACTTCCCAAGAATATAAGTAAATGATAGATAAATAAATACCTGATATTTATCTATTATTTACTATATTGTTTCTTGGGACATTTTTGTTTTGTGGTCTCTCTATTCACTTATTGGTTTGGTACTCAGGAGGGAGTGTATTTATCATGATATGCTATCATTATATGCTTTCCAACTGGTTTGTTGATGTGTGAACACATTTAGGTGTATGCGGCAGCCTATTATTTAACCGCTTAAGGCCCGCCCACAGTACATTTACTGCTGCAGGGTGGGCCCTCTGCACAAAATCATGTATATATACGTGATTCTGCGTTTCCAAGTAGGCGGGGCATGCGAGGAGCGCGACCGCCATACCCACACTGCCGATCGTGGCTCTGGATGATTACCCACCAGTGCCCGGTGATTACAGGCAATCATTGACAGGGAGGAGGTCTGCATTGTTTACCAACAGCCCTCCTCCCTGTCAGTTTGGGCACACTGCTCGGGATGGCTGAGCACAGCCATCCCGATCAGTGTGCTTTGAAGTACACGCCCCCTAGTAAAACACTCCCATCACATGGATTGCCCCCAGATGTTAACCTCTTCCTGCCCAGTGCCATTAGTACAGTGTCAGTGCTTTTTTCAGCACTGATCACTGTATTGGTGTCACTGGGGATGTCAGTGACACCAAGCCAGTTCCCTCTAGTGTCAGAACGCCCACCAAAGTCCCGCAGTCCCGCTATAAGTCGCTTATCGCTGCCATAAGACGCTGATTGCCATCACTATAAGTATATATTAAAAAAAAAATTTCCAGTATCTATACCGCCATTTGTAAATGTTATAACTTTCATGTAAACCAATTAATTTAAACATATTGGAATTTTTTTTAGCAAAGGCATGTTGCAGAATACATTTTGGCCTAAATTTATGGCGAAATTTGATTTTTATATTTTTTTTTTTTTACTGGACTTTTTTTTTTATAGCACAAAAAATAAAAAATGCACAGGCGATCAAATGCCACCAAAAGAAAGCTCAATTCATGGGAAAAAAGGAAGTAAATTTAATTTGGGAGCAGCATTGCATGAGCGCGCAATTGTCAGTTAAAATAATGCAGCGCCGTAATTCAAACCGCTTCTTTAACTGCTTCCTGACTGCCCTATAGCAGAAATACTGCTACAGGGTGGCACGGGTGCGCAAAATCCCGTTTATATACATTATTCATGCTCCTGTGTTTTTCACACCCCTCCATTGCCCGTCAGTACACCAGTAATCACATTTAACCCCTTGATTTCCAGGAACACGTTCATACACAATAAACCTCCATTGCTAGTATAGTGTCTGAACGGATCAATATCTTTGATCAGATCAGCACTATACCAGTGTTCACATTAGTATAGTGTCCCCAAAAACACAGCATTAGAGGGATCAGCCCTGGCACCTGCCATCACCTGTGTTTAGCCCCTATGCTTACCCCACCTTCTCCCTCAGCAAGTGCATTGTCAGTAGGTCACTGTCACTTGATACATTGCACACAAAACCGCAGTGTTCGCAGAATCAGGCCTGATCTCTGCTAGCACTTGCTGGTAAATTTTGATGACTCTCATATGCAGCCAGTACTAGTGCCGCTCTACCCTTGGTGAACTGGTGAGCACCAGGGCCTAGTACATCCTGGTCTTTCACATACCAGCACTGCAGTATGATGTGGCAAGTCCCATAAGTGCAGTACCAGCTGGTGCGGTGGCGAGCACAAGTATTGTCCCGCAGCCATCAAGAATTCGCACACAGGCCTGTAGAGCCCCTAGTATCCTTCCGGATGTGCTTGCAAATTCCGATTGGCAGTCCACCAATTCTGCAGCACCCGTACTTCCCCCATTCACTGCCCAACCCGGAATTCAGGTGGAAACAGTAAATTTAAATGCTCCCCTTTTTCATGGAAGATCTGTATGCATTGATTGTGGATCAAAGCAATTTATATGCACAACAATTATTGCCGCCAACCCAAATTCAAACCTTGCCAGACCATTCGCATGGAAACCCATTACATTTTCTGAATTTCAATTTTTTGGGAGGCCTAACCCTCAACATGGGCATTAATAAAATAAATTAATTGGTTGTATTGGTCCACAGACCCAATTCATCATATGCCCATGTTCTCTGCTGCCATGGCCAGGCATAGATATGAGAGTATAATGTGTTTTATGCATTTCAATGAGAATACACTCTGTTGTCCTCGGGGTGACCCTGAATTTGACCTGCTCTACAAAATTCAGCCCCTCGTAAATCACCTTAACCAAAAAATTTGCAGATGTCTATACTCCCCAGCAAAAAAATCGCCGTTGATGAGTCTCTCATTAATTTTTCTGGCCACCTTGCATTCAAACAATTTCTCCCCAGCAAGCATGCCAGATATGGTATTAAGATGTATAAGACCTGTGAGAGGGCTATACAAATAAGTTTTAGATTTACGAGGGAAAAGATAGTCAAGTGAAGCCCCCCCGGATGCCCAGACTACATGGGGAGCAGTGAACATATAGTTTGGGGCTTGGTGTCATCCTTTTTCAATATGGGGTACCACTTATACATGGACAATTTTTGATCAAGCTTGCTACTATTTAGACATTTGTACAATTTTTGAATTGGTGCATGTGGCACCATGCGACCTAATGTGTGCCCACCATTAGAAGTGGGTGGATGCAGGGCTGTATATTTTAATGGTGGGCATACCACACACTGACAGAGGTTTCTTCTCTTTTTTTCATTCAGCCCACAGGCGGCATACAAAAAAAAAAAGAACATATATACCCAACAAGGACCAGCGACGTACTGGTACAGCACTGGACTTTGAATGGTTAAACCAGGATGATGCCTACAGCTGCAGGCATCATCCTGGTATCGTTTTTTTCAGCTGGTGATTGGCTTTCATGTAAAAGCAATCCTAGTGGCTAATTAGCTGCAGGATTGCTTTTACAAGCAGCAGGAGATGATTGCCCCTCTCCCTCATTGCCTTCCATGGCCTTCTTGGGCAGTCTCGTACCATTGGGGGAACCTGAGAATGCAGCCGGTGTTTCTGCCAGCTGACCATAGAGCTGATTGGAGATCGGAATGGTGCCAATCATCTCTATAGTCTAAGAAATCGAAAGCTACGAGCATTTCATCACTTCAGTTTCTCAGGATATAAACAGCGCCATTTGTAAATTGGGAAAGCATCTGATCACACCAATCTTGGTGAGATTAGATAATGTAAGGACAGAAGAGATATCTAGAGTCTGATAGACCCCAGATTTCTCAAAAAAGAATATATGACAATGCCCATTGAAGTTATAGGGAATATTTGAATTCCCTGTGATAGCATTAAAAGTGATAAAAAAAAGAGATGAAAGGGACAGTGTAAAAATAATAAAAAAAAATTTAAAATTAAAAAAAAAAGCACCCTG